AATTTGATTTTCCGATTGAACCAATACAATAAATACGCAAAACACCAGTTTCCCATTGCTTGTATAACGAATACCGAAACGGATTTATATCGGCTGTTTATATTTTTGAATCTAATCAACTGTTTTCACTAGACGTGCGTGCGCCAGTGCAAGCGACATGTTTTACACAAGCTTCAGGTGTTCTGCGGCTACACCAAAAACGTGGTGCTGACATCAGACTGGCAAGCCCGAAGTGACAAGGGTCCCGAATCGAATAACGAGTTCCAAGACGTTTACTCCGAGGTCGGTGAAATGATTACGATGCGTTTTAAAATGTACTCACTGTTATAAACTATTCGTTATTTCAAACACACGCGTGTGCTTACACAGATCGAATTGTGTAAGGAACGAGTGTCTGGAAAAGCAGTGAGGAGAGCGTTTGACAAGAATATCGTACTGGTCGACCCGGAGATGGACATTCCGAGTGAACTGTGCGATTATATGATAAGTAATAAGTTGCCGTTGGTACTTACAGTCAGTTATTTATCAACGGAATGGAAAATGGTCTTCGAATGCGGACCGTATAGTGCTTCGATCAATGATTCCGTAAATTCGGTAAGTACCTTGAGTACATATCTTAATGGTAAACATGCTAAAATTAAAATGATTTACAACACTTTGATCGTATTCACTTGTAGACGTGCATGCAGCAGATAAAAACGCTACTGTTGCACGAATTAAAAGCGTTCGTAACTAACGAAAAAGAAGTTGTTCGAAAAGAGTCAATCAGTGAAAATCATCTATGTGACCAACAGAGTCGAAATAATATCATCGAGCCTACCGTAAATTCGGTCGCTCAACATCCGGAAAGTACAGACCATATACCAGTTTTCACGAAGTTACCCGTAACCAGATCCACTGAGGAGCCAAATAGATCTTTCAATGTCTTTGAACCGCACGAGGTAATTAGAAACCACCATGAGTGGTATGATGTATTAGATAAAAATTATGTCCAATGAATGGAGTTTGCGATGAGCTGAAGCAAAAATACTATAGTAAATCATTATGGTATCACGAACGTATATAGTAGTAGAAATAGGGTCTCGTCCAGTTGAATACAGTCGAGAAGCAACACAACACTTTTACTTTACTCGCATTGTGTCGGTACTAATATTCGGAAAACGACTTTTTTACATTGTTCGCAGAAATACGTCAGCAGTGCTTCCGCGGTGTTGAAAAATGTCACGTGGGACACGTTCGAAGAAAACGCCACACGGTTTTTCGATGTAATAGTGCAAGCGGACCGCGCGAATAGATTTTATTTGAAGATGATCACGGATTGTGTTGTGTCAAATGTACAGTACCGTCCGGGACATATTCACCGTCTTTCCACGTTTAATTTAAAAACAATATTTACGCGTGATTATTTATAACGAGTTATTTAACTGCTCCTTGTGCAGGCGATTGACGAGTCCGACAAATGCACCTTATACGCGACACTATGTTGCACAGTGATCGAAAATACACGTGTGGACTCGAGGACGATCATACCTCAAGGGTTGTCGATTGCGTTCAAAACCGAACTGATAAAATCTTGCAGGGCCGTGTTGACCGAAGCCGGCGTATTGCTCCGGACGAGAACAGTTCGACAGCTTGAGAACCCGAGGCGATCGGAACAGAGGTTCGACGTAAAAGCTCGTGACCGTACGCATGGAACATGCAGGTAAAAATCGGGTTGGAAGTGTTAGGTAACGGATATAAATTCGGATATAATTCAGCTCTTATCTATCCGATCGTAAGCAATTCGTAAAAGTATTTGGTATCAAATCACAGGTATTAAACACGCCGTCAGGGGTTCCTCAGGGAGGCCATCTTTCCCCATTACTTTTTATATTGTTTATTAATGACATAAAGAAAGTTATTCGCCACAGTAAATTCTTACTATTTGCAGATGACTTAAAGCTATTTCTAGAAATTCGCTCAGTACATAACTGTCAATTACTTCAAAATGACTTGTGGGCACTGGACGCCTGGGCTGTAAATATTGGTTTGGATTTTAATGTCTCCAAATGTTGCTCAAAAGCTTTTTATAGAAGTCGGACTCACTTGGATTTTAAATATCCACTTCGTGGAACCTATCTTGTTATTGAATCGAATACTGTGAAAGACCTCGGAGTTTTCTATGATAGTAACTTAAATTTTCATAACCATATAGATGCGACATGCTGTAAAGCTTTAAAAGCTCTTGGATTTCTTAAGCGGGTTTGTAACGAATTTAAGTTGACAACTCCACTAAAAGCTTTATATTGTGCGCTCATCAGATCTATTCTTGAATTTTCTGTAATTATATGGAACCTTCACAACACAAGCAATATGAATCAACTTGAAAGAGTCCAACGGAAGTTTTTGAGTTTTGCAGCATATCTATTAAATATTGAACATAGACCTCATGATTATGATGCAGTAATAGATAGGCTAGGCTTACAGTCTTTGGCCGATAGACGTATCACCATTAACAAGGTCTTCCTAGTCAAACTCATTAATGGATCGATCGACTGTCCTGAACTTCTATCCAAAGTAAACTTTAAAATTCCCTGTGTCCCGGTCCGTTCTTCCTATCCTTTCAGTATTCCGCTGTGTATGACAAATTATTCGCGAAACAAACCACTAAATAGAATGATGCGTATTGCTAATGAGGATCCGTCTTTTAGTTTTTAAGTTTAGTTTTGTAATACTTTTTTTTTTGTCTCATTTCTTTTTCTGTTTTAATTGTTATGTCTACTATTCACTTATAATATGTAAATTTATTTTTCTGTACTTTGGGCTGCGGTCCGTATTAAAATAAAATAAAATAAATGTTCGAAAAAAAAGTTAAAAAAAACCCGATCTAAACGGTCAAGATTAAATGTTTTATTTTTTTCATCGGTGTATGAAACGAACCTTGTGACATCCGGAAAAAAAAATACAATTTGCATTGAAGTCCCTGTTATTGTAGCAATATATGAACATTTTATAATCGTTGTACGCAACGTGTTTCGCAGGTTTATGGGTGAACTGTTCATGCGGGATCAAATATTCAAAACCGTAATGAGTACCATCGACACGTTCATGCAGATACACGACGCGCATTCGTTGGAATGTCTCTGCGTTTTACTGACCGTAATCGCACCAAAGCTTGAAGAAGTAATATCAATTATATATCGTATAACATACGTCATTGAAATCATAATCATAAATATTGCTCCTATTTTTTTTTTTTTGTGCGAACCGTGAAAAACTTACGTTCGACATTGTGACGCATTATAGTTATCGTTGCAGCCATGAACGTGAATAGTAGTCCAAAAAGTTTCGAAAACAAAAAATCAGGAAGTTTTGTTTTTCATTCGATACACATTCATTGCTTAGGCTTTTGAGGCTATGCCCTCCTAACTCTCCTTGCTCTATTCACGTCCATGGGTCTCAGTACCTGTACATAACTATCACCGGTTATTTCCGGTAAATCCTACCGTTTTATGTTCATGCGAGTTGTTCTTGTACAGGTTATCGATGCCCCAAGACAAGTGTACAAACAACTGAGAACCTACTCGGCCACCGGGTTCGCGGGCAACATTCCTCTGCCTCAGCAAACCATTCGCATGATAGACATACTTCTGAACGTGCGAAAGTGTCATTCGAAAGATTCGAATTCGTGGGGAGGTGATTTCGCTGAAGGAAAGACCACGAAGGCCAGAAACGGCCATCATCAGGAAGTGCAGTCGGCGGATCACCGTAGGAATCGCATCTCTAGCGAGATTTCGCGATCAAGCCAAAATCGGCCATCCTGTATTACCACAGGGCCTGTAAAGCACCACGGGAAACACGTCACGTTCAACCCCGTGGTGTCTGTACTCTATTATTATAAAAATTAGTAGTAACGTATAAACATTCCCTCTCTTTCGGTTGCAACATGATTGCGCAATTTTTCCTCTTTCGACCCAACTAATTACACCACGATTGTGCCCAGACCCATTTTTACCTGATAAAATCTCAACACCGTTGCATACCAAATAATAATATGTGCATATAAACTATGCATAATAATTTATGTACAACATGTTGTGATTTTATCAGGTAAAAATGGATCAAGGTGCAATCGTGGTGTAATTAATTGGATCAAAAAAGGAAAATGTGCACAATCCTGTTACACCGCTCTCTTTCTCCACCACCCTATTTACACCCTTGGGTATGTATAATATTCATTTTATGACTCAAAATAATTAATAATTAGAAAAAAATCATGTATTATATATTGGCACATTATGCCAATTCATTTATCAAAAAACATTTACGTTCAAAAAGTACATAAATAAAGATAAAATCTCAATAAAAAAACATATTAATGACATTAATGTATAACAATAAAATATAAAAAGATAATAAGTGAGCTCCGAATGCACAGCATACCCCATCGAGAGGTTCCAATATAAATATATCCTAGCTATTCATTTTATTCAAAAAGTTTTTTTTATTTCTATACAACAATTATTTTTCTTATTTATTATTGTTTGAATATATTATGAAATCTGTTTAGAAAACGAATAATTTCAAAACGAAAAAATATGGACTAGACCTTAAACAAACTTTTGCAAATGGCCAACACAACTCTTCGAGTAACCTCTTACAATAAAGAACAACTGGTTTGAAAAAGATCAAGTGACGGTGTGATAATGGCAATCATCAGAAGTTCTGAAGTGGGGAAGAGTGTGAAATTTCGAAAAATCTTGAATCAACTATCAGCTCTCACTTTTTGTGAGCTGAACCATAATAATATTGTATTAATATATAAATAAATATATATATATATAGTTAAGCCTGGAGTACTATTAAATGTAAGGTTCAACCAGTTTTGAATTAAAAATGAGAATTTGAGATATTTTCTCAATGTATTATTTCCCATAATATTTTATATTCAGTCACGATTTTATTGACATTATGTTTACCTGACAATGAATCCTTATTTTGAAACTTGTCATACTTAAAAAAATATAATAATATAATAATACAAAAATAAAGCTCTTATTTATTTATTCTATGTATAAACTATATGTTTATTTATATATTAATTTAGGACTATAAATCATTTAATATTTTTTAATTTTTATTTAATCTCAATTATTTTATTAAATATTGTATTATTTAAGAATTATTTAGTTTACGTCTAGAAAAACTGTGCACAACAAATAGGGGTAGGCTAAAGAGAGGCAGGCACAACAGCATAGTAGTTAAAAAAATGGAGGGGGTGACAGAGGCCGGAACACCCTTAATATAAATTCCCTAATTTTGACCCTCTGTATAAAAATATATTACCTTTTTAATGAAAATTGTTTATTTAATCTCTTAAGGTCTTTGACCTTTCCCCCTTGAAAAGAAGTATTTGCATCATAATCTAAGTGAACAGGAGTTTCTGAAATCTAAATTGTAAATGTTAAGTAGTGGCAGCAAATACGTACTCCAAGTAGTTCAATTGAACTGCCTAGAAAATTAGAATGTTAAAAAATATATAAAAATGATCATTAAAAAATTTTAATTAATTTTTTATATATTACTTGATAACATCTTTAATTATTAAAGATCCGTACAGTAAATGTTTTGGTATTGGAATGGGTAGTAAATTAGAATGGATAAATCTAATTATTTGAACTGGGTGTTTCAATTTCATTCGGCACCAATTGTTTGAATCCCGATGGACTGTATGGTGTTCACAGAACATTGTGTAATCTTCGTGTAAGGTATAGGCAACACAAAATACATGTACGCGCGAATGTTCTGGAATGTTCTGTGAAAAGAAACTGGTAGAACTTTCTAGAAACCCACCGCATATGCATAAACGTGTGCATACCCGTACTTCAGAGAGTGCCTACTATGTTTTTGGGCCCTATCTAAACAAAACGTTTTGGTTATTTAAAATAAATCATAGTGTATAAATATTTCAATAAAAATAACTGTAATTTTTCATTTAATATAGTGGTATATCAGTCCCGATGAACACGTTTTCCTCGGATCTGGTAATTTTTTCTCAGACACATTGAATTAATTATGATTTGTACTTCTGTAGTCCATCACTGTTGTGCATACACTGACTGCTATAATATCGTAATAAGTTTTCGCTCGAAAATGTAGTTTTATTTATTCCATTACAAAAAAACATCATTTATTTTTCACCAAATACTATAGAATACATTACGTTTACAACTCTTCGGGGATGGTGTCCGGACCGGTTATGTATGTAAAACGGCGCGACAACGCTGTACCCTAGTAGTTATCACAGTGCAGTACACGTAGTACGACACGCGTAACCTTGTAAATACAAATAAATATATTTTTTCCGGTTATTACAATATCGCAGTGGCATATGTAATGATTGGCGAAGCGCTAAAGACTGATTGGCAAAGACATATAGAAATCAAGCGTCCTCGGAGTGTAAAGAAGTGTACGCCCGAAGAAGCTGTGTACATAATAGAGATAAAAACTCACGATAATAATTGTTACTGTTTTAAAGTACAATTACAAAACGACGATTGCGATATTTTCCGAGTGTGACTATACCGTATTAAACTTTTGAATACATTTTTATATCAAATCAACAAATGCGAATAATGAATACATTTATTTTTTTCTACATTAAGATTTGTAGTCTCCATCACAAGGTATTGTTCACGTATTGCTGTATGGTAATGACTTGTGGATTTTTTTACTGTTACGAGTTGCACTGCGGGTCAACGGCCAAACGCGTGGGTCGCGCAAGTTGGACCGAAAATCGGTACGTACGTCGCACATCGGACCGGCGCCTTCGCTTGTTACGTTGACATTAACTGTGGCGACTCCAGGGCGGTCGATTAGGTCTGCTCCGAGTGTAAATATTTAACGCGACCGTATCGACACAGCGTTAGAATAATAACATGGTCGGGCTCAAAGTAACGCGGGTGTAACCTATTATTTTCACTATTATTTTAGTGGTTTGCGTGCGCGTGTTTCTATTGTTCACATCCAATATCGATAATAACTGTGAACGCGGACGAAAAACAATCACTGTCGCCCGACCGATCGCGTTTTTATCTCGGCACAAAACGTTACGTAATCGACAGTGAAACGACCGGTTTGTGTTTTTCTTCACCGAAAGCCAATCGTTGGCCGATTTAACGATCGTTTTCCATTTCGTCCGTTCGTATAAACATACCGTTTATGGAGTCAAGATATAAGGAATAGATCCCTCTTTAAGTTTTTTTTTCACAATAATCGTAATTTTGTCTTTTACAAATGTTTAAAACTCTAAAAAAAAAAATTTGACAGAAGAAAACATTCTATCCTTATTGTTTAATTATTTTATTTTTAAACATTTTTATATCTAACTACGTTATAGATAGAAGTATACGAATTTCGTTCCTAGTTGAGAGATTCTAAATTCTTTATTACCACGTATCGATCGTTTTCCAAGATCGCACTGTAACAAGAACGATGTTTCTACGTGTCAATTAACTCAATACTAATCGATTTCAAAAGCTGCAGATTTCTCTTATACGCACCAAGAATGTTTATTTGTTATGATCCAAATCATGTGTTAAACAACACATACGTTTTCTGTCACACAGTTTTTGTACAAGTTGGATTTAGATAACAAACTTCAAGTCATTGTGCATTAAATCAAGGTATTGAAGACACGTTGTCTTTAGTTTTCTATTTTAGAAGCCCATTCACGATCCCTCTCATATTATTAATAACTATCGTTTTATCGGTGGTAACACTTTTGCAGCTCCTTAGCCAATAAAAAAAACTAACAATATATTTTATGTTGTCCGTCACGTGAAACGTGATTCCACTGAGATGTGTGATACCGTCATATTCTACTCATAAAATATCCTGTGATCTCTAACCGACAACGATCACTGTATTGTTTCCTGGGAGAGCGGTTAAGACACCTACCGGGGGCTGGACTTACGTCCTGAACACGACATCGGTACGTATGAACTGAGACTATGGCTTGACATTTGCAAGTTGGTATAGCAAACTTTCGGCCAAAATCTCAGCCCTTGTAACGGCGAGACTGTTGTGCAACATCCTTTTAGTTAATGGTACACCGTTGTCCTTCTCATTTCCGTAAGATGAACGAATATTATGCACTATAAATGATTGTTGACGTTTTTATTTACTCGGTATCCTATCCCAATGAGCGGTTCGGTAAGTTGGGTTTTAGTTGAGCGGCAACTGGCGAGTACTATAACACGCTGTATATGAGAAGTTTCTGAGCACGCAGTGTATATGATGTGTGCGACTGAGTCGTATCTCGAACCAGTAGGTTAGTGTTAATGGACGGCGCGAGATAAAACAGACCGTCTGCTACCTTCGAGCAGATACAAATTTAAAACAAACTTACGTATTTTCGGCGGCCGTGTATATGTATGTGTAAACCACAATAATTGTCTTTGTGTGGAGGATTTCGGGCGGATCTAGCCAAAGTCGATATCAGTCTAAGAACGTACTTATAATTGAGTAGTTAAAACAAAGTACGCAAAAAACTGGTAACTATTAATGGAGATATGTGTGAAAGAATCGAGAGCAAATTTTACTATCGCGACATGGTATACTGTTTATACTCGTAACTAAATCGTATGGTTGTGAAACGTGGACGATAATGAAATACGATAAAAATTAACTAGAGGCAGTTAAGATATGGATATAGAGGGGAATTTTAGGAATAAGTTGGATGGAACATACGACGAATGAAGTAGTGTTGGACGTGATAAACGAGAGAAGAACGCAATTTGATGGACGCAATAATGAAAAAATATATATATAAAGCTAATTGCACATATCTGCTATGATACAACAAGTTTATCATCATCATCACGGAAGGGGAAATAATAGATAAATTAACTGAAGGAAGACCGCGTAAATCCTTATTCGAAAAAATCTTCCGTTGGTTGGGTTTTACCTCGGTGTGTGGCAGACACAAATGGCTACAACTACAAGGTTTGGCCTTTAGAAGCTGATGATGAACACACCCTTTGTGTTTTCAATTTTTAGATTGAATAATCACCAGTAAAACGATAAACGAGACACAATACGACGGTACTAATGTCGCTTTTTCGAAATATTAACGTGTATGACGGCGAATTGTATAGGCAATTCCCAGGTGCAATTGTATTTAGCAACACATTCTCATTATCGTTAAGCAACGGTTCGAGCAAATTGGAAGACGTTACTGGATAAATTTAAAACCTAGTTGTTATTCTATCAACACCTAGAGCTTACGGTTCTTGAGAGAATCTCTGTTGCGTTTTTATGAATAAAATATTTACAAGTATACGAATTATATTTATAATATGGTGTTTATAAACAATTATTATTATTAACTAGCCGATTTACCCTGTTTCGTCCGAATTAGTTTTTAATTATTTTTGATAATCGTTTTTATTTTAACCGTACACGAACCGCCTAACGTGTTATGTATTATACTACATAATAGTGAAAAAACTGTAACAAATGTTCATCTTATTCGGTAAACATTCTAACAATTTTTCTTTCATACAAACCTTGTCCAGAAAATTGCGATTACAACAACGGCCACAAATCAATCAAATCGATCAATCCGTTCACTAGTGATGATTCTTTTGCATACATAAAATAATTTATTTTTATATATGAATAAAGTTGTGCCATTTAGTATAGAACATTACCTTGTATATATAACAAATATATGCCATTGAAAAATCAAAAAAAAATCGTTATAAATTAACATAATTTATGTAAAAATAAATATATTACGGTTGAAAAAAAAATTTAAAAAAAATAACAACTTACTATACAACATTCGTTGACATTTTGAAAAAAAATCAAAAACATAGATTTGTAAAAGAATAATTTTGGTGCATAAAATACAAAAACGAAATTTACAAAAAAAAATTAACAAATTCAATAGTTAATAAAAATAACCATTTAATCATAATCAAAAACATAAATATGAAAAATAATAATGACACGTAGAAAACACAAAAACAAAATAAAAAGTCAAATAGTTTTGAAATGTACCATTTCAAACAGGTAAAACAGCTTATAAAAATGTAAAACTTTATAGGGTATCCCTAAGGTTTTATTCAGCGAAAAGGTACAAAATTACATATTTTAGTAGACGTTGTTTCCTTCGAATTGTCATCGTTTATAATTAAACTACAAATTGGTCCAGTTGCTCTTCGCTAAAATTTTAATAATACTAATTAACCTTGAGCTTGATTTTTAATGCTTTACACAGCTTTTCAATTTCGACTTGCACTTGTAGCGTCGCGTTAGGCTTCTTGTACAACTCGAACAGACAGTTTATTATAGAAGTTGTCCACGGATTGTTCGGGCCGAAGTTTCCCCCCGAGCAAGATTCAAGTATATTCGTCACCAACTGCACGACGAACAGCAGCTCGTCGCCACCTTTCTCGCACGCTTCGTTCAACAAGTGTTCCAAAGCAATATCGTCCTTCGATATCGGTTTATTTTGCGCCAAAGTGATCATTCCCAACCAGTGGCCCAGATTTTTGATCAGTAATTTATCCGCCATACTTGGAATGCCTACATTTCTTCTCAACAGAACCTGAAACCATAATATTTACATTCTCTGTCAATACAATTACAACATAATTGAAGTAGTTTATTAAAGTGATTTGATTATTATTACGATATGCTGTTCAGAATATACATTGCGGAATAAAAATAGTAGATTCATTTTTATATATACTATATTGTAACGCGCTAAAAACCTAATGCCCCATCCACCAATAACTGTTCGTTTGTATTTTTCCAACACGATCAGTTAACGTTTAAATAGGATTGAAGAAGAAACGTGCATTATCAAATTTTTACCTAATTTTTTTATTCTAAAAAAATGCAACTCTTTAAAATCTACAAAAATTTTCAGTGCCTCGAACAAATACAAAAATTCATAATATTCATATTATAGGGTATCTGTTTTTTTTATCCAAATTAATTGCGATTGTATTTTATAAAGATAATTTTAGTTGAGATTCTTTTTATCTTCGACTGAATAGATTGTTGGTATAATATCTTTATCTAGAGAAAAATTAATATTCCCGGCTCAAAACTGTTTGATTTACCTTAATTGTATTGATGGTGTCCGACAATACCATCGAATTCAGCGTTTTGCTGTTCAAACAATTCAACATGTTTGAGTAAAGAACACGAAAGTTGAACTCCTGTCGCACCCGTTTCAAGACAATGTACTTGGATAACCACGGCAAGTGTTCTTTGGCGATCAGACGCTTTATGTCGCTGCACTGTAACAGAATCATAAAACACAGAAGGTTAATAAAATAAGCTGTTGACAGGATTGCTTCACTAACGCTGCAACGTTTGATCGTAATACGAATTAATGGAAAAAATTAAAAGAAAAAAAATCAAAATGAAAATATCAATTGCATTAGCATAATCAATGTATTCGTATGGATTCTTACCTTGGTTTCAAGATTCGTTTTACACAGGCTGTTGATAACATAACGAATTTCGTCTTGTACAGCTTTAGACGGTACGATTATCTCGTCATCGACAACCGAATTGGTGATCGCTGGAGGTTCCGATTTTGGCAACGCATCGGTGAGTGCGATTACTGGATCAGGTTTTGGCGTTTGCTGGCAAATAATCGCGTCTTGAGACCGCGATTCGCTTTCCTCCTCGCCGTTATCGGTTTCTGATATCGTTTGCTCGTCGGTGGCTCGTCGTCTAGTCGGCGGTGCAAGTTCGATCAAATCGTGCACCACGTCCTGCGCATAACATAGAAAAAATGGTTAGAACCAGTGGCGTGGATACAATTTTTTTCTGGGGGAGGGGATATTTAAGGGTAAATTTATAATATTTTTAGTATATCTTAATCCGACGTTCTATATAATATTATTACATTTAAAATTGTATTATTATTATGCCCCGTATTTAATGAAAATTATTTTGTTACTTAATTTTTAATGTATACTTAATCAGAGTAAAATGAAAAAATAATTTTACTATAATATGTAAATATTAATAAATAATCATTAAATATCATAAAAAAAAAAAATCTGGAGGCGTGGAAAACCCTTACACCCCCACCCTCCCTAAATTACTCCATTTTTTAGAACCAATATCTAAATGGTGTTTCGAACGAAAACGTTTATGCGTTTCGTTAGTTTTTTACACAATATCTTTGTTTGCATTCAAACGGTACCATCGGACGTATACGAATTGTATTAAACAAAGCATTATATCAAGTAGCAGTGTTGGGGTTTGATTTAAAGAAAAAGTTCAATAATTAATTCATTTAAATCGAATAAATCCGAATGATGAATTGATTAATATAGTTTAAAGTCTAATCAACGTCCACTATTCATCTATTTTTGATTTATTATATTGTTATTTAATTATTAAGATTTAATAAGTAATTAGTATTGTATTACGTTCTTTTTCAACATTTCAAACTTACCTCAATAATGTCCGGTAGAAAATCATCGACTTTATCAGTTTTTTCAAGCCGAACACACAGTTTCGAAAAGTTTTTCAATTTCGTTTTAAACCGATTAAATGCCATATAACTGAAATTGAATGCATTAGCATTTTGCGTATTCTTCAGATCATATAATATGTAAGTAATGATTGTTTTCAATGTATTTTTATCACTAAAAAAAAAAAAACATTTTTGTTAGTTTTTATTTATATCGATAGAATTTGATTTTTAAGCTTATGCAAATTAAATAACTTATAAAAGGCTACTTACGATATAAATCCATGCTTTAAAAATCCGCCTACAAAATTAGCCATTTTGAAAATATTTTGATCTGAGTATGATGAGAATAAATGAAAATCTTTGATCAAACGTTTCACCATGCTACAGATAATTTCCTACGCGAATAAAAATACATTGAGTTAGAAAAAGGAATATATATCGTAATAACGACTATAACTAATTTATCATGACAATTTTAACAGTATGATATCAGGCTGATTTAACTGTTGCATTTAATAGTGTTGTCATTTTATTTTTCATGTAGCGTAAAAAAAGTATCATTCACTTTCATAGGCGCAACTAAAAGGGCACAATATAATTTTTAGCACCACTAAGTTCAAATGTAGCACTCCTGTTTTTGTTTTCAGATCTATATAATCTATTACAGTATAACACCATTTAATTAAATTTTCAGCAATTTCAGCACCCCCAATATTTTGGCTCTAAATGCGCCCATGTTCACTTCTTTATTGTTGTAACTATTACAATTTGTGGCTCAAAATTCTCATTAAATACAAATAAGGCAAACTAACCATGTTATTTATATATTTGTATATATAACAATCTCGTGTCCACAGTATTTGTGACTACTCCTCCAAAACTGCTGAACCGATTTTAATTAAATTTTGTATATACATTTAGTAGGTCTGCGAATAGGTTTTTATCTATTTTTTATACTCCTAAGTGCTATTATTTAATAAATCGTAGTTTAATTTAATAATTTTTGATCCGGTCAATAACTGCACAATTGAAAATGTATTATTAAATGATACTATTAAAAAAACTATTAAAAAATGATTAAAAACTATTTAAAAACTATTAATTTTATTTTTGGTATTAAATGATGGGTATTGCATAAATATTAAACAACAAGATGCCGCGACAGGTGCCAAAACAAACAAGAATGTTAGTTCGAAGGATTATTATGCATATTGGTTGATGATTAGATGCGATCAGAACAACGTTATTCTACGATATCGTAAGCTTGATCAACAATTCATGGTCAGCATGTATATAAAGATAGAGAGCGAACGATTACGATACATGGGATTCAATCAAAAAATGGTGCGTGCGGAAGATTCTCAGAACAACTGTTAGATATCGGTGATGGGAAAGTTACTACAGATGAAACGGGATGCATACAATTACCGACCGATTTCTGCACAATCATTGATTCGCAAGATGCTCTCATTGACCAGATATTTCTCAATGTACACAGACAATACACAAATTATGAATGGCTGGCAGAAAGAGCAATTTTAGCAGCAAAAAATGTGAACGTCAACGAATTGAATTTCAAGATACAAAATTTGTTACCAGGAGACTTAGTGTCATACAAATCTATTGATACAGTTTGCGATGCTACTGAAGCTGTAAATTATCCAACAGAATTTTAAAATTCATTGAATTTACCAGGCGTGCCACCGCATAATTTACAACTGAAGGTTGGATCTCCGGTTATTTTGCTTCGTAATTTGAACCCACCACGATTGTGCAACGACACGCGATTAATCATTAAAAAATTCATGGAAATATGTCATCGAAGCCATCGTTTTAAATGGCAAATTCCAAGGTATATATATATATATTATTACCGTAAATCCCTATTACACCCACAGATGCGATAATACAATTTAAACGCCTTCAATTTCCAATTAGATTGACATTTGCAATGACTATCAATAAGTCTCAAGGCCAAACGATGTCTGCCTGTGGCTTAGATTTGAGCACATCATGTTTTTCACACGGACAATTATACGTAGCGTGCTCTCGAACCATCCAATTTGTTTGTGTTAGCAAAAGACGGGATAACAAAATATATTGTACACTCTGTTGCATTAAGGAATTGATATTATTTTTTACTAATATTGTCATAATTAGTGATATATATATATATATAATTTTAAAAGATTAATTTTAATAAATTATTAAGAAAATAAATGTTTGATGATTTTTCCTTTGTTATATTTCATTACCGTTCACAACACTCCATACCTCTTCCACTTATATACCACATCCTTACACACCTTCATTAAATTAGTTATTTTTTTCCAGCAAAATATTGTCTTAAAAATAATTTATATGACAAAACAACGTTTGTCGGGCCAGCTGGTATATATATCATATATGGATATACAGTTGAGTATTTACGTGTTCTATGGGTTAAAATATCCTCCAATATTTCTAAAACAAATGATTGTTGTAATGCTATGGAAGTTTGTCTACATGTAATCTCTAAATATATCCAATTATATGTAAATAATTAATCATTTTCGCCACACTCCAAGTTGCACAGAATTAAAGATTATTTTCGTCGTTACAAAGGATTAAGATTTATTTACGTAATACTATGGACAAATTATGTGTATTTTTTATATTACTAATATTATATTATATTTATATTATACTATTTATTATCAAGTCTTGGTAAACAATTTAGTATCATAATTATTATAAAATGTAATTAATTTATAATTGTTCTGTGTAGAAAACACTTAATAGGTCAGCCTTGCTTTCAATCAATCCAAAGGTTCATATTTAAAGTAATCAAGTATTGGACTAATTGGCATTAA